CAGAGTTTTGCCAAGTGAAATTATATAATGGTTCCTCATGTCTCTGTGATTTTCTAAATCTCATCCAGAAGTACCACAGAATTTGGCATTTTCAGCAGAATGATGCTGATGCTAATAAAACATCCTGATTTTTGGTGAAAGGATGGAAAGAGGAAGGAAGGAGGAAGAGAGATCTAAAGAGCAGAAAGACAGAAGGCAGATAGGCAAGAGGAAGGAAGGAAGGAGAAAGAATGGAAAGGAAGGAAGGCTAGAAGGAAGAAAGAGGGAGGGAGGGAGAGAAGGAAGGAAGGAAGGAAGGAAAAAGAATGGAAAGGGAGGAAGGCTAGAAGGAAGAAGGAGGGAGGGAGGGAGGGAGGAAAGGAAGGAAGGAAGATGAAAGAAGGAAGGAAGGAAGGAAGGGATACTTCCACTTGTAGGCCTGGGACTGAATGCAGGAGGAGTCTCTCCCTAGGATCAGCTGCTCCTCTGCTCATGGTCTATGTAAATATTACTGCCTGCCTGATGCAAATTTAGACAGACGGTGCTTTGGGCTGTCCCTCAAATCCCCCTTTTACTCCTTCCCCTGTAGAATTCAGCCCCCTGAGTTTTGCCTTTGAGGGGCATCTAAATTTAGGTGACCAGACGTCCAGCTTTTGGTGGGACAGTCCCGCTTTTGAACAATTTGTCCCGGGTCCCGTGGCATTTTTAAAAAGTCCCGATTTTTTTTAAATTTTTAATCAAGAAGACCTCCCCACCCACCCCAGTAAATGGTGTCCCACTTTACCAATGTTAAAATCTGGTCCCCTTACCCTAGTGCCATGCCTCAGAGTGAGCTCCTGCTACTTGTCCCAGCTGATGCCAACCTAGCAGTTCGAAAGCAAGTAAAAATACAAGTAGAAATATAGGAACCACCTTTGGTGAGAAGGTAACAGCGTTTCAAGTGCTTTTGGTGTTTAGTCATGCCGGCCACATGACCATGGAGACGTCTTCAGACAGCAGTGGTTCTTTGGCTTTGAAACAAAGATGAGCATCACCCCCTAGAGTTGGGAACGACTAGCATATATGTGCGAGGGGAACCTTTACCTTTTTTTGCACAACCTATTTGGTTTGAATTGCTCACCATCTTTAATTTGGCAGAAAACTGAACCTGCATGTCATTTGCCATTCCTTATTACCTTTCTTCAAAATACTTGACTTTGTTCCAAAATAAGTAGATGAGAAAACTAGATTTTATACATCTTGAGGCTGCTCTTGCGTGGTGTTGGAAGAAAGAGGGATAATCTTATTTTAACTCCAGTAGAGCTGAAAGAGATGTTGACTGAGTATGTTTAAGCTATGGTTAGCGGCAAGTGGGAAAGACCTTTCCTTAATATGCTGGTAGCAGCATTCAAAAAGTAATGAACGAGATGTAAAGTTGAATCTAGGTTATTTAAAGACCAGATTAGAAAGCAATTAAGATGATGGACTAAGGCTAATGAGAGTGGAAGCTCATGGTGTGATTCTTAGCTCGTTATTATCTCCCAGACCTGTAAGGACAGGATCATTGTTAGGAGAAATATGGTGGAGGGTGTGTGATGTGTGTTAATTATAGATAGTCCTTGACTTACAACAGTTCATTTAGTGACCGTTCAAATTTAGCACTGAAAAAATGACTAATGACCATTTCCCACACTTATGACCATCCTCACGGTCACATGATAAAAATTCAGATGCTTGGCAATTGACCTGTGGTGGGTTGCAGGCGGTACGCCCCAGTACGGGTGTACTGGAGCCTGACCGGAGCACCAGATACCGTTCCGATACAGTGCTCCGGAGGGCCCACTCACCTGGCGAGCTCCTTACCAGTCTTTTAAGTCTTCAGCGCTTCCGTGCTCGTGCATGGCGCATATAGCGCCTGCGTGATGCTCCACTGAGTAGCTGGAGTGTCACGGAGGCTCGCGGAGGCCTAAGATGCATGTGTGCACTGCGTGAGTCTGTGGACGCGCTGCACGCATCCATGTGGATGCCGCCGAGCGCCGGGATCCAGAACCCACCACTGCAACGGACTCATATTTATGAGGGTTGCAGTGTTGTGGGGTCATGTGATCACCTTTTGTGACCTTCTGACAAGCCAACTCCAGGGGGAAAACCAGATTCACTTAACCACCATGTTTCTAACTTAACAACAGCAATGATTCACTTAATAACTAAGGCAAGACAAATTCTAAAATGGGGCAAAACTCATTTATCAAAGCTATCATTTAACAACATAAATTTTGGGCTTTATTGTGGTAATAAGTCAAGGACTACCTTATAACATCTACAGCAGTGTTCCTTAAACTGTGGTCCAAGGACCCTTAGGGCTCCTTCAAGTTCCTCTCAGAAGACCACGAAATCAAAACATTGGCAGATATTGAAGACATTTGCAAAAAAGTGCAGCTAAGTCACTTCCCATTGTTTTTTTTAAATAGTTTTTTTTCCTGGAGAACATTTTATTTATGTAAATATTTAATGGGTTTAATGCTATTTTTAACCTGATTAAAAAAATAAATATTCTATGAATGCTTTTATTTTAATTTTTAATATGGTAAGTATCAATAAATATAACCCATAAAACAAAAGCTCTTTTGGGGTCCTCCATAATTTTTATAATAGGGACACAGTGGCTCAGTGCCTAAGATGCTAAGCTTGTCGATCAGAAAGGTCGGCAGTTCAGCAATTTGAATCCCTAGTGCAGTGTAATGGAGTGAGCTTCCGTTACTTGTCCCAGCTTCTGCCAACCTAGAAGTTTGAAAGCATGGAACAATGCAAGTAGAAAAATAGGAACCACATTTGGTGGGAAGGTAACAGCATTCTGTGCACTGTAGGCATTTAGTCATGCCGGCCACATGACCACAGAGATGTCTTCGGACAGTGCTGGTTCTTCGGCTTTGAAATGGAGATGAGCACTGCCCCCTAGAACTGGGAATGACTAGCACATATGTGCGAATCTTTATCTTTACTTTTATAATTTTTATAAGTGAGAAGATATCCTGAAAAAAATAAAAAAAGTTTAAGAGACAATCTCCTATAGAACAGTGGCATCTAAACATAATTAATTGCAAATGATGAGTAACAACAAAAACGTTACTAATTTAGATTAAGAGGCTGTCTGGTTAAAAAAAAAAGACAGAAAAACCACAGAGAAAAGCTGAAATGTCTGGAAAACCATATCCCATATCCCAACCACCCAGTTCCAGTGACTGGGCTCCAGGTTTAGCAGCCTACNCTGAAGGCACAGAGTGCTGTTACTTTCCCACCAAAGGTGGGCCCTATTTTCCTACTTGCATTTTTGCATGCTTTCGAACTGCTAGGTTGGCAGAAGCTGGGACAAGTAATGGGGGCTCACTCTGTTACGCGGTCCTAGGGATTCAAAACGCTGAACTGTCGACTTTTCTGATAGACAAGCTCAGTGTCTTAGCCACTGAGCCTCCATGTCCCTTGTTATACCATTACCTTAAGCATAATACAAATTTACACAGAAATATGTGCTTACCTTCAACTTTTCACTGTCAAGCAACATTAATTGTTGCCCATCAACATTCTTGGTGGTGAATTCCGAGATATACTGCTCCATGTTCATTCCCATTAACCAGTGGCAGACCTGTTGTGTAGTCCATTCAGAAATGGGCCTGTTGTGCCACTGGTTTTGTTTTCCAGTAGCTGAAGGTTCATCATCTATGGCCTGATTGAGTGAAATCAAATTAATCAATTTCCCGCAATGAACAATAGTTTAATTTTATTGAGTTTAAAACTAGAAAATAATAAACATTTCCAGTATTTTAAAATCTTACAAGGTTTTCACAATGGACTTAACATAAATCTCTGAGACCATTCCTTACATTGTTCTCCATACAAAAGGTTAACACCTTTTGAATAGACGAGTCAGTTACTCTTTTGAAGTTAAATAATATTCCATGCTGTTTTTATGTGCGTAACAGCTCAAAATGAGCACCATTAAGACAATGAACAAACCTTGCCCAAACCCTGGTACTTACAGGTACAATTTGATAAATTACATCTGTTATTAACTTCACTAATTATATAATTAAAATGGACAAATGCAAAATAATAATTTGAAATTAATGGTAAAAATCCTTTACCATTCTATGGTCTTCTAAGTAGAGAATAATGATTGAAAAATCTATGGTTGTTGGCTTTACATTGCAAAGCTTCTTGGAACTTAAAAGATGGATCAAGTAAAAAATAAAAGGAAAAAAATTTAATGAAATTTGAAACCATTTTTATACTGCTTGACTTAGACATGCAATTTCTGTTTATTCAGTGGATGGACCAATGAAAGCAATTGTAATGCTTATTTGTGTATACATAGTTCTATGTTGTTTTTAATATATAATTAATATATAATAAAAGTATTCTTTTATTGGTGAATTGGTTTATTTCCCCTAGTTTGCAGTATCTCATGAAGATATTGCTAAGGGAACTACAGAGACCATGTTCTTTGTCATTACCATTACTTCTAGCAACAAATTTCTATTCAAAAATAAAGATTTCCTAAAAAATGGATACAATCTGACTAAAGAAAATAATCTTAATCAATGACATCTATTGAGCACAATACAACTGTCCATTCTCTATGCAGAATGCTATAGTTAAAAATGTTGACAGAGCATTCCAATAGTTTTTCTGAGATCAATTTCACCTGTCATTATAACCCAAATTACTTTACATATTTCTCCTATAGCAGATTACACTTCTAGCAAGTAGCTGATAATTTGATCGACACATTTGATCCTGGAATTTCATCTTGTTTGCTAAAACTATTTTAATTTGCATGTTCTTTCTGGACCAAGATATGCCATTCATTTCTAAGTCACAACGTAAGAGGAAGTCTAAAATGCCTCACGTTTAAACACAATTACTATATTAATCTCAGTGGCCCCCACAAGTATAAACTAGCTTGTGCATTGCATAAAGCCATAATATGAATTAAAATGAGTTAAAACACAAGCTGGTATGTCTGGCCAACAATACATACCAGCTTTCAGATACAGGTAGTCAGCTAATACTGTAAACCAGCAGTCCCCAACCTTTGTGGCTTGGTGGTCTGGCTGGGGGGGGGAGGGGAACAGGGCCACATGAGCAGCGGGCTGGCTCTTACTTGTATGCAGCCCTTGCGTACCAGCCTGCCACTTGTGCAAAGGCTGCGTGTCCACAGGCCAGCCCACTGCTTCTGCAGCCCAATTCCTAATAGGCCACGGCCTGGTAGTGGGCCATGGCCTGGGGGTTGGGGACCCTGCTGTAAACATTAAAGTATTTTTGTTCATTGTATTTAACATGTTGTAAAATGGGAATTAAATGGCTCTGCCAATCCCATTTTAATTTTTTGGCTATAGTATCATTATTCAGGAGTTCATTACCAAATTTTAATACATATTGCAAAGTTGGAGAATCTTGGAGACTATAAGCCAGCGATGGCAAACCTTTTTTGGCTCGTGTGCCATAAGTGGGGGAAAAGCAGGGAGGGGGTCGTGTGCGGGAATGCCACACCCATAATACAATGTGTGACACCCCCCTCAGTGCGTATGCATGCACTACAGGTGCTCCCCCCATTTTTTGCATGCTTTTTTCGCCCTCCCCAGGCTCCAGAGGCTTTATAGGAGCCTGGAGAGGGCAAAAACAGCCTCCCCTGCCCCCCCTGGAAGCTCCCAGAGGCTTCAGGAACATTCAGGAGATTTTCCTGAAGCCTCCGGAGCAGTCAAAACGATGAGGAAAGTGGAAGTCACTTCTGGTTTCCTCGGAGGGTCGTTTTAAGTGCTCCAAAGGCTTCAGGGACCTTCAGGAGGCTTCCCTGAAGCCTTCGGAGTGCTCAAAACGATCCTCCGAGCAAACTGGAAGTCCATTCCTGAACTTCCGATTTGCCCATAGGGCTGATTTTTTGCGCTCCAGAGGCTTCAGGGAAGCTCATGAAGCCTCTGGAGGGCCTCCGGAGGGTGGGGAGACTCTTTTCAGCCTCCAAAGGCTCCTATAAAGCCTCTGGAGCCTGGGGAGGGTGAAAACAGCCCCCCCCGGAGGCCCTCCGTAGGCTTCAGGGACCTTCAGGAGGCTTCCCTGAAGCCTCCGGAGTGCTCAAAACGACCCTCCGAGCAAACCGGAAGTCCATTCCCGAACTTCCGGTTTGCCAATAGGGCCGATTTTTTGCGCTCCGGAGGCTTCAGGGAAGCCTTCTGAAGGTCCCTGAAGCCTCCGGAGCGCA